CCCAGGACCCTGGGATCATGACCGGAGCCCAAGGCAGACACCCAACGACTGAGCCACTCAGGCGCCCCAAACCACACTCTGTCTTACCATGACTCTTTCTATCAGGTACCAGGTTTTGTATGAATCAAGTTGTTCCCATTTCACATACTTTTGGGCTGGTAAAGGGACATGCAAGGGCTTTTATTCACTCAGATGTACTGAATGCCCACTATGTACCCCGTTTGGTGAATGGTTTCCTTGATTATGCAATAACATAAAAGATTGTCTTCTCAAACCCTCAACACCAACAAGGGAGATGTGGCATGTATACAAATTAATTACAACTCAAAGCATATGGTATGTGACACACAGGTGCCATACAAAACAGCAAGCATCTTAAGAGTTCAATGAGAGAAGAGATCACTCCAACCTAGTATGATTGGAGTAATGGAGAAGAATTTTATGATACAGATAGCATTGAGCCTTGACTGCAAAAGGCAGATATGGGGAGGAAGGCCAGAGAAGGGAATGATGGGAACAAAAATAATAGAGATGCAAAAATCAAAGAAAGCATGTCCAGGGAATAAAGAGATATGAAAAAGAAATAACCCAGTAGTAGCTGAGCAGTGAAAGCGGTATAGGGAAAACTGAAGACCACTTGAGTGAGGATGTTGGGGATCATAAGGAAATCAGTGTCAATCCCTCTCATATCTGGACACCAATGCACTTAAAATTTGTCGTGCATCATTTGGCACTTGATCAGACATGATCTGTTAGCGTCTTCCCAATAATGCCATAAGCTTCTTGAGGATGGGAACTATGCCTTCTTTTCTCCTATCCACACAATGCTTAGTACAGTTCTAAGAGCAGAGCAACTCAGGAAATATCTGTTAACTGACTGAGGAGCTGGGAGATGTTAGGGGAACAGATGAGTCAGGTAACAGGGGAAAGGCTTAGGAATGAAGCTTTGAACTCAATTACCTGGACAAGGAATCCATATTCCAGAGTGGGGATGTTCTTGCAGTGACCACTGACCTGATGAGAGTAGAAAGAGAGACATCATGAGCCTCCTATGAAGCTGGTGCCTAGAAAGACCTCACACTCATCACCTAGGATTCTCCAGAAATAGCTACGCCCTACCTCCAATTAGCCTAAATAATCCCAAACCTGGAGAGAAGACCTTTAGACATTTTTGCCAAAGGTTCCTACCTTCTTCAAGGTAGGCAGATAGGTTAATACAGCAGCTGATGACCAAGTCCTAACCACAACCTAATAAAATCATACATGACATCTTGGGATGCCCAAGCTCAGACTCCCTGCTTCACGGCCTACTATCAGAGAAGCTTGCCAGACAGTTATGTTTTCAGCTATTAAAAAATGTGCTCCATTCTACCCATTCATGGTACATGTCCAAGTTTGATTTAGGATGCCTGAAAAACCATACTCCCACCTCATGTTGAAAAGCTATACTCCCACATTTCCATTCCCACCCTCCTGACACCCAAGTCAAACCCTCCCCAGCCCATGTACCAAAGGAGAGGTCCGTGCTGGGGGAGGGAGGCCCACGTGCTGGGGGCACAGGAGACCTGCCTGGGGACTGGGAGGGTAGCCAAACACCTCCACTTTGGGGTTCTTCATGGTGCAGGAGATGGAACGGTTCATGAGGCGCCCAACTCGAAGCTCTGGTACACCCAGTTTGCCTTTCAGCATGGAGTCCTGTATGATAGGGAAACTGGGAGATCTGGAGAGAGAGCAAAGAGAAGTGATGAAACTGCGGATTCAGAATGAGCCCTAGAAGAACACTGGAGAGGGGCGCCTGGGTGGCTCAGTCATTAAGCGTCTGCCTTCGGCTCAGGTCACAATCCCAGGGTCCTGGGATGGAGCCCCATATCGGGCTCCCTGCTCCACGGGAAGCCTGCTTCTCCCTCTCCCACTCCCCCTGCTGGTGTTCCCTCTCTCACTGTATCTCTCTCTGTCAAATAAATAAATAAAAACCTTTAATTAAAAAAAACAAAACACTGGAGATAAGTGTGTCCTAGGCCAGGATGGGTGAAGTGACTTAAGCCAAAGAAGAACTCCTACCTGAGGAAAGTTCCATTGGATCTTAAACACTTTTAAAACAAGTAGATCACAAACCTGAATTGATTCTTATGTCATTATTTGTGTGTTCTTCAGATTGGAACACGGAGAACAGGCAGAGGCAAAGTCTCAGTCAATCTCTATGGCATCTAGGCCAGGTATGGAATGATCCCTTGGACAGGATGCCTGTTTCACTTACTCTGTGTGTGTGTGGTGTTTATATACATATGATGACGTGCTAAATACTGTACTAAGCAAGAAGCAGTTGCAACCCAAAGAGCCTAATGTCTGTCAATAATAGTGCCTGGGAAGCTACTAATCTGGGTTTATATTAGCCTTTGGGCAAGTCAGAGGCCCCAGGGGGACAAAATGTAGGCCTAAGGACAGAGAACGAGACAATATTTATTTCTAAAACCTAGATAATAAATCAGTGCACCCTCTCATGAGAACAAGGAGTTGATGACTCTTCTCAGATTCTGCCTTCTTTTTTTTTTTAAAGATTTTATTTATTTATTTGACAGAGACAGAGAGAGCAGGAACACAAGCAGGGGGAGTGGGAGAGGGAGAAACCGGCCTCCTGCCGGGCAGGGAGCCCGACGTGGGACTCGATCCCAGGACCCTGGGATCATGACCTGAGCCGAAGGCAGATGCTTAACAACTGAGCCACCCAGGCGCCCAGATTCTGCCTTCTTAGGAGAGGGAGTAATAGATGAGGTTCAAAGAAAGAAAAGATGGAAAAAATTAGCATACAATTCTTCAAATACATACCATGAGCTAGGTATTGTGTTTTACATAAAAGACAAGGTATGAATACTGGTGTCAGAAGTACAAGGATAAAGACACCAAGGGGACAGGACCGTGTGGGTGGTGTTAACAGTTAAAGGTGCAGAATTTAGAGGACCTTAGGAGAGGGCAAAATAGATAACTTTAGGTAATCAAGAAAGTGGGGTGGAAGTTCAGACAAGACCACGGTCATTAGAGATGATCTGCTCCTAGGGGAGCACTTACTTGGGGATGGGTGAGAAGATGCTGAGGCCAGCTCGGAACTTCTTGATGGTACCACTTGCCTTGAACCAACTGTGCCTCTTTTCCTGCTGGGTCTTCAAGAAGTCGTTGCTGAGATGTTTCCATTGTTGGGAAGTGAACATACCCAGGATCCTAAGGAATCAAAGAGAACAGGCTTACAAAAACTCAGGCAGGGGAATAGGTCAAGGAATAGAACTATGAAAAGCAATTAACCTAAAATTCAGACCCAGGGGCTGTAAAGCTAGTTGTGGTGGGGAAGTGTGTCTGAAGATCCCCTGATAATGACCTTAGCACATGGAAATGTACTGTCCTAAAGTACCTCTTTACCTGAGGGGTAAATATCCACTCCCATTACCTGGTCTAATGGACCAGAACAATTCTGAGATGATTTGCCTTTAATGGAAGATCTCAAAGGTGAGCCTTCAATGGCCATGAACCTGGGAATATACTGCCAAGAATAACTATACTGACAGTGGAACAGAAGTAGTGGGATGGAATTGAGTACCACCCTCTACTTTGTAAATAGTGAAAGAGTAGGGACATGAGGGGTACTGACATTGCTAGGCAAAAAATTATATCCCCAAACTTATGGCTTCCAACTTGAGCTGGGCCCTCAGCTAGTCCTGTCAATTCTTTCACTTGTCTTTGATCAGTCCTCTCTGGCATTACTCTAAGCTATTATTCTAAATCCTTACCGCCTTCTCTAAGCTTTTAACTTCACCTACAGCTGATAGCCTCTTCCTTCTTAACAGAGAAAATTGAAGCCATCGTTACCAGCTCCCTTAATTTTCCAACCCTACTACAAAATCTATTTCCATTTCCACTCTACCTTGATTCCTCCATTCACAGGAGACAAGGTGACCCTTCTATTAATTCCTCTATTTGTTCTCTAGATCTCAGCCCCTTCTTGCCTCTTCAGGGACCTTGATCCATCAATCATCCCCCTTTCCTGTCAGTTCCTTTCCCAAAGTCTACAAAAAGTTTCGGTTTCCTCTGCGTTGGTGGTATAGTGGTGAGCATAGCTGCCTCCCAAAAAGTTTCGGTTTCTGCACCTCAGTCTAGTTACATCTCCTTCTTCCCTTCCTATCCTCATCCAAGTATCTCAGTCCACACTTACTGTTTCTACTTCATTGCTAACCACTCACTGTAGTCCAGTTTCTACCTTCACCACTCCACTATGGTTGCTCTTACCTTGATGCTAAATCCAACAAAAACTCTTAAGTTCTCCTCTTACTTATCCTTTATCCTTTCTGGCATTTTGCCCTCCTTGTAGAAACTCTCCCCCTTGCCTTCTGTGACACCATTCACTTCCTATTCTTAACTTCTTTGACCTACCTTCAGTGTTCTTTTTCTGCCCACCCTGCTGCTTTTCTTGGGTATTTTGTCTGAATGTCAAAGGGTGTTTTGCCCTTGATCCTATTTTCTTTTTATCATGTTTTCCCTTAGCAATCTCATACTCTACACTGGTTGTAATCTCCACCCATTCAGTGAATATATTTTCAACCCTAACTTCTGTGACATATCTATGTACTGAGTGCCTCCACCTGAATATCCCAAGGTTTTTTTGTTTTTGTTTTTTAAGTAGGCTCCATCCCCAGCATGGAGCCCAATGTGGGGCTTAAACTCACCACCCTGAGATCAAGACCTGTGCCAAGATTGAACACTTAACTGACTGAGCCACCCAGGCAACAACCCCCCAAGGTTATCTTTAAACAATATGTTTAAAATGGAACTAATTATCTATCCTTATCCCATAAACCTGCTCTTCTTCTTATATCCCTATTTAATTTGGTGTTTTATAATTTACCCATCTAGGCTGGAAACCTAAGCGTAATTTTCCACTATTCCTTGGTTTTTATGACCACATACAACATATCCAAATCAGTCTTCAAGTCTTAACTGATTTTATACTCCACAAATCTCTCTAGTTTATCTTTCATCTCTATTCTCACCCACATTAACACTATGGCTCAGGCCCTCATCATCTCATGTCTGGACTTCTACAAATGCCTCCTACTAAACTAGTTCTGGTCTCTTGTCTCACCCCCTCCTACCTAGTTTACACAGCACTACCAGAATCATTTCTCTAAAACGAAGTCTGACCACGTCCTTTCTTTGCTTAAAACCCTTCAATGCTCCCGCTGCCTACAAGATAAAAGCCCAAGATCCTCTCTGATTTGGACCCCTTCCTACTTCTCTGGCTTCAGTTCCTACCACTCTCCCCCTGTATTTTACTAGCAATATTTAACTACTTGAGCTTCCTACACACAGGCTGCTTCACCTGACTGTGTCCTTGCAAATGTTATTCACTCTCAGAGTCTGTCTGCATGGGCAACTCTTATCCATCCTTGAAAACATGAATCATCTCCCTTTCATTCATTCACTCATAGCCCTCCACCTACCACCAGACTGAGTCACCCCTTCCTCTATATTCTTTTTTTTTTAAGGTTTTTTTTTTTTTTTTTTTTTTATTTGACAGAGAGAGAGCACAAGCAGGGGGAGCGGCAGGCAGAGGGAGAACCAGACTCCCCACTGAGCAAGGAGCCCGATGCGGGACTCGATCCCAGGACCCTGGGATCATGACCTGAGCCAAAGGCAGACGCTTCACCAACTGAGCCACCCAGGTGTCCCTCTCTATAGTCTTTTTAAACCTTACATGTTCACTTGTATTAGAACATGTGTCCACTGGACTCTATATTCACTGAGGATAGAATCTATATAATTCATTTATTTCTCTTTGTACACCAAATATTAGCAAGACGCTCAACACATTCCATAAACTAAAACTGTCTGAGCTCCTAAAGCCCCACTCTGAGAAAATCACAAGAGAAAATACGAAGAGCATGACCCTAATTCTAGGGTTGTACCTATCCTTAAATGGTAAGTACTAATAAGCCCCACCTCACCTCCAGGAAGTCTCAAGGCCAGACACCCCAGAACCAGAGGGTCTCCCACCTAACCATAAATTTGGCTTTCCCAATTTATTTAGTCTTTCTTGGGCACATCTCAGAAAGATATTTTTGGGAGGAAACATTCCACCCAAAGGTCTGCCTGTCCATCCACATGTCCATCTCTTCCCCTCATATGTCCATAACCAGAAAGATCAAAGTTCTTACTTTTTCAACTGAAGACCCAGCCCAAACCCTTCCTTATTCGATGGCTGGAAAACCTCAATTGATGGTTCTGCAAAGAGAAGAAAAAGCTCCTAGTATGTACATGTCTCTATTTTCCTGGGAGTCCAAAGCCCCGGTTCAGTGAAAGAGCTTCCTCAGATTCTAAGAGTACTCTAACCAATAGTGACGGAGAAGCAAGCATCTGAGGCAGAGGGCGGATTCTGTGAGCTTTCTGACCAATTCCAAATCACTTCAGCTTCTATGAGGAGGTCGAGGGGAACGGAAAGAATAAATAATATCTGGGGACCAGAGAAAACAATTTCATTAACCAAGAAGGCCTTCATGGGATGGCTAGCAGGTGACAGGAAATGAATGAAAAGCCCTTACCAATGGCCTGCAAATTATACCCAAATTATTCCTAGCTTTTCTCTGGCACAGTTAACTTAGGACTTTGGATTAGACCACAACTGAAGCACCTACATGCCCAAAGTCACTGCCTTTACCTGGTCCATCGAGGTACTGGGAGAGAGAAAATCGCAGCCTCAACACAATAGGTTCTGTTCGGAGGACTTTCCAGGCTGTAGCGACTTCCTCCTAAAAGAGTAAGGGAAACAGGTTCCAGTTTAGCAACAGAGAGGAATGGACTTGGAAGTTTTCCCTATATGACACACACATGCACATGACAGTACACACCACTGTCTGCTGATGGTCTAGGAAAGACAAGGATGAAGAATATGTGCTCCAAATACAGCACTCAGGAACAAGACTCCTGGCCTACATGACAAAATCCACAAGTCCAGCTAGACATGTTGTTGGCAGGTACTAGCACCACTTACATCGAGGAAGCTGATGTTGATGTGGAGGTCAATGTCCACGTCATCGATAGTTCCATATTCTCTACAGAGATACAGGGGAGACTCATTAAGGGAGAAAGAAGGAAACAGAGACTGAGGTGGAGGGAAAACTGAGCCTGGGGCCATGGGAGAGGGAAGAGTGGAAGGTAGCTCTGTATCTAGACTTAGCTACAGCCTCAAGCCACTTACACGATCAGGGCTTCCTCCAGGCCAGAAGCCCTTCTGACCTCGAAGGTCAAACTATCAGCTTAGAGGGATTCTAGGATGAGAGGAAACTTCTAAGAAAAGTGGCTATATTTCTTTCATCACTGCTCTCAGCTAAGCTTAAGTATTCTGAGCAACTCCCACTATCACTAAGCTCCTAATTTATCCAGGTCCACCGACCCCCTATCATGCCATAAGAAGAAAAAAACCTCTAGCCTTCCACAGCTCAGAAAGAAGTGGCTTGCTCCTGAAGTGGAGTCCCACCTGATGGATACAGAGTTCTCACTGTAGATCTCCTTCACAGCTTCAATGTCTGCATCAAGCTGTGGGTGTCGATACAGGTCAGCTGCACAGCTCCCCTGAGTCAGCAGCAAAAACAGTGGGGAGGTTTGGGGGGAGGGGAAAGAGAGATACAAAATAAAAAGAACATGAACAAACACCAGGAACAAGAAAATCAAACGGCAGTAGTACAGATAAGCAAAAGGCAGCTTCTGTGAAGGGGCTCTTGATGGTGACCCTAGCCACCCACCATTGGCACACAAGTCTCCCACCATCTCCACTCTATGAACTTTCAGTGGACCAAATGCAGGCCTTGCTCAAGAAGTACACAGCCTTAAGTCTGCAGCTTTGCCTCTGACCCTGACCAGGGATACTTAGGTATCCCTTCCATGAGAACTCAGGACAGGCTGAAGAGCACAGAATTTAACTCAGATGGTTGTGTGTGAAGAGTCCAACATTCCTCCTCAGGACTGTGCCCTGGGTAGTGATAGTACGAAGCAATCACTGGCAGGGTAATCTTTTAAAAATTTGACCCTAATGAATGAAATGACACCCACTAACTAGTGAAGGAAGAGTCAAAAATTAATTATTTCCAACCAAGAACACATGGGTAGCTTTCACATACAAAGAATGTAGTTTACTCTGAGAAAGGTATGAGTCCCAGGCAAGAGCAAGGATATGAGATCAGCTCTTGTAAGACAATGCTCAGACCACACCAACACTGTATTGTATCCTCACCTTATCTCTGCTCCAGAATAATCTCTCACTACTTGTTGTATTCAGAGAAGCACACATTTAGACTATCCAATATGGGTTTTAGGGGCTGTAATCTCACCTGAACTCCATAGAGAAATTCCTCTGATTCATTATCTCCCTCCGAATCATCATCATTCCAGAACTGGCCTTTGATGTCCTAGTGATGAGAAATAAGGATACAACCTTTGTTGGATCCCTATCATCCCATGGAATGGAGTGGGGTGATAGGAAACAGATTCCCACAAAGAACGGGAGGCCCCTTGGGACAGAATAACTGAGGCCCTATTCCCTTTACTCCCTTCATCTCACCATTTGGGAACACCTGTCTCTTCCTGGATCTGGTCATATCCATGGCCTACCTCTGACTTCTGAGGGATGGAAGATAGGGAATTTTGGCCTTCTTGTGGGTAGGTATGATGATTGAGGCTCTGGCAGCCAGTGGGGGAGGGACGCAGACTTCAACATCAATGTTGATTCCTAGGCATATCTAGATCCTAGTGCAGGCTGGCCTCTTCTAGGATCATTACTGCAAAGCAGCTACACACATAGCTAAGCTCTCTTATCACTCCCTTTCTGTCCCTTATTTAACTCTCTCCTTCCTTCCCAAAAAAATCTACCTGTACACACCCCAAGTAATACAGTCTCCATGCTCCTTCTTCCTTTAACTTCAGATAACCAACTCTACCTTTCAAAAGGGTGGAAGGGAAAATACCAGGAAAAGATGAGGTTTGCACTTTGTCCCATCTATCCCCTGGATGATCAGTTGGAGAGATGGGTAGTCAGTTCTCACCATTGGGTCAGTGGGTCACACACACTCCCAGGTCAGTGCTAGGCAGCACCCCTCCATACCACCAGCTGAACACAGGCCAATGGGATGGGCATTTAGGAGGCCACAGAGGGAGACAAGGGAAGGGGTGATGTCAGGGGCTGACTGGAGATCTGCTGGGGATGTCAGGCTCTGCTGTGGTGGTGGTAACAAGTCACTGTCCTGTGGAAAGTAGACAACAATTGGTTTCATCACCACTTAACAGCTAGATGGTATTTACACAAGCACACGTTTATGGATACACTTTTATTAGACATATTACAGACACTTGCACATAGAGACATACTTGCATGCATGTACACACACTTGTACACATAGTTCTTTAAAGATAATGAACTGTGAAAGCACTATACAAACATAAGACACTACTGTTCCATTTGAGCTCAAGAGTTGGATTAGAGCAAGTCCCTGCTTTAGATCATAATGCTGTATCAACCCCTGAAGGCAAAAGTGATGGTAGCAGGACCAGATGATATGCTACTTTGTCTAGTCAGTTCATTTAGGAACATTCTTCACAGTACCAACCCTCATCAGAATCAGATTCTTTTGGGAATCTTTACCCCTAGTTATTTACTCAAATTGAATCATCATGTCTTACTAAATATCAGTATCACTGGAAGCCTTTATATGACAATCATAGCTAACTTAAAAAGTCCTCAACAACACTGAACATCCCCTGGTATACATGGTCTGAGTTGTCATGGCCAAAATAATACCCTGGACTAATCTCGGAACCTACTCCCCAAATAAAAATGCAATAATGATCCCGATAAATAGTCAGAAAAACACTAACCCCTAGCCATTTCACAAAATTAAGAACAACTATCTAGGCCTTCCTGGCTCTGCACATATCTGTCTCACCCACTCCAACCTAAACAGAAGTGTTCTTGGTCTCTAATATGGTTCTACTGAACCTTAGGTTTACAGATCAGAGTGGGGTCTATGGATCTGCAACATCAGCATCACCTGGGAACTTATTTAAAATGTAAATTATCAGACCCCTACTAAGACCTACTGAATTAGAAACTCCAGAGATGGGGGTCCAGTAATCTGTGCTTTAATAAGCCCTCCAAGTTATGCTGATGCATGATAAAATTTGAGAACCACTGTTCTAAATCATTGTGTGCTCCAAGGACCTGTGGTCTATTCCCCAGATAACCAACTTAAGCCTGGTAACTGACCCAGGATGGGGACATATGGCACAATGCCAAGGCAAACACCATAGCTGTCCTCGAGCTGATAGCAGTGCCTGACTCATCAAAAACAATATGCAAAGGGAAACTGCAACTGAAGTTCTTAGAGATGAAATGGCCTGATATCTGAGATTTACTTGTAAATACTACTCCACCCCAAAGGGGGGTGGGGGGAAATGAAATAAATACGGCAAATATCAATGATCAACCTGAGTGATGGGTTCATGAGAGTTTCTCATACTCTTGTGTATAGTTGGAAAATTCCCTAACAAGTTAAAAAAAAATCATAGGCTACTCCTTCACTTTTTCATGGGCTCTAAAAAGTCAACTCTAAGTGTAAACAGGAAAATTATCCCTGAAACTCCACAACTGCCTACTTGCTGTTCTTCAAACATATCAACTGTACTCCCACCACAAAGCCTTTGTCCCTGCTGTTGCCTCTTCTTGGAATGCTTTTCAGATATCCATATGGCGTGCTCCTTACTTTCAGATTTCTGCTCAAAGGTCATCTTGACCATCCTCTATAAAACAGCAAAACCTCAACACACTCACACTAGCACTTTCTATCCCCCTTACCTGCTTTACAGTTTTCCACAGCACCATGCTCTGACATACAAAATGTTTGTTTTATTTATCTTCCAGCAGAATATAAGCTTTGTGGTGGCAGAGGCTTTGACTCTTTACTGTCTGTTGTCAGTACCTCAACTCATACTTATTGAATGAATAGATGAATGAATGAACTGTCTGCTAGATACCTAAACCAAAAGGGAGATACACAGAAGAACCTAATTGTGTCTACACATAGACAAAATCATACAAAAATGATTTTAAAAAGCAAGACTCCATTCACCTTAAAGAGCAGCTGAGAACCAAAATTATGAAGATCTGAGGGCTGAGCTGGGTTTGTGAGATTTGAAAATAAACAGTCAGATGCTGATCTGGATGATCACAGAGGAATAGAGGGAGGCACTAATGTCCAGCTTGGGCTCTCGGGCTGGGTGGTAAGACGTTGGCAGTGTAGGCCAGAAGTACCAACTTTCTCAAGGTCTTTGTCACCGTAGAAGTCAAGAAAAACTTAGCCTCTCTCCAAGGGCTGTGGCTGCTTGGTTTCTGCTGTTACCACAAGGAGAAAAAGGCAGTTTAGAGGGAATTTTTCTTGTCCAGGGAAGAAACAATTCAGAGACTACCATCTTTTCCAAACCAGGCTGTTTCAGTGAAAGGGACTCCCATCTTCTACTCTCAATGCCCATTCCCCTGGAGGTAGAGAATGGGTTTAAAGAGTGGGAAAAGGGAAGTGGTGGGTCATGAAATTCACAGAATCACAGACATCTGAAAGAGGAGTAAGCCTAAAAGATCATCTCAGTGCTTTCACGTTATACATAGAATACCCAGGTGTAGGAAGGCCAAGCAAGTTGCTTAGCATCAGTATAGTGGAATTGGGACTTAAGCAACATTTGACAGGTCCTAATTACATCCAATTTTCTTGTAATGTGGTTATAACTAATTAAAGGAGTTGTTTAATGAATTAAGCAAGAAAGACCTATCTGATTTATCTAAATGAGGTGAAGGAGGGAACCTTTCAAGAGAAGCTGGGCCAAGTATACACTGTGTGAAGAGTACCCAAACAAGGGTGTTCAGCTCGGTGTTAAGTCTGATGATGGCAGCTAAGACAGAAGGCTTTACGGATTTGTATGGGAACAGGCCAGATGTAAATAAGCCTCAAGTCCGGATCACAAAAGTCCTTCCCTAGGTCCACCGGCACTTCTCGGTCTGACAACTTTTCATCTAGCCAAAAAAGCCTCCGATCCCAACGTTTAACTCTGGGTTTGACTCCCAGCTTTGTAGTCCCGGGAAAGGGGGTTATTCCGCTCTACACCGAGTGCTCCTTTCTCAGAAAGACTAAGCCACTGAACAAAGAGTGCGGGGGAGAACCCACGGAGGGGAGATTCTCAAAGGCTGGCGCTATCTCCGGTACACCCGGTGGAGGGAGAGGACGAAGTTAGCCCCCAAAACACTGGCTGCCATCCGCGCTTCCAGGGCAGGCCCTGAGGCCTCCCTGGGGGGGAGCAGTCATAGCTCTTCTCCGGTTTCCTCCGGAGACCCCCAACACCTGCCTCCCGGGGAAGAAGCTCTGTGCCCGATCGGTGTTGCCAGCCGCCCGGCCTTGAGCAAAGCCTGTCAAACCTAGGAGCGCCCCTCAGAACCACCCGGTCCGAGCCCCTCACTTCATCCACCCCAGCCGAGGCGGGGCGGGCCCCGCACCCTTCCCATGGCCCGGCAGCCCTGACCCGTTTCCGTGGCGGCCGCCCCACAGGCCGCCCTCGCGAGTACTCACGGCGACCCCGGGCCGCGTGCGGCCGCCGCTGAGGGGACGAGCGGCCCGGGACGCCCCGCGGGGGCGGAGCGGCAGACCAAGGGGCGGGGGCCGGGCCAGGCGGGCGAGGTCGCGCTCCCCCACGCCTCGTCGTTCCGTCACGGGCGCGCAGAGCCACTCTGCGCACGCTCGCGCGGCAACACCGTAGTCACGTGACGGGCTTCTGACCAATCGCCATGCGGCCTGTTTCTGGGCGCGCCACCGCCCGGTACGCCAGGCTTCCGTCGCTTGCGCGGTGCGCTGGTTGGGAGGGGGCCGTGGGTTGGGGCGGGTGAGTGGAAAAACGAGGGGCTCTGGGGGTACTCGGAGAGCCTTCTGAAAAAGACTGTCGGCACTTGGCGCCCCGTGTGGTTGGGAGGAATGAGCAGGGAAGACCGTCCCCGCTGCCTTTCCACGTTGGAGGACGGGCCACAGGTAGAGATTGAGAGGGGCTTCCTGAGACCCCGCGGACTCCAAAAATCTCTGGTTTGCAATGGGGGAGTCAAAGACCTCGGGGTCTTGCTCCCCTGGTAGCTGTGGCGTGCCGGAAAGCATTCTTTCTATTCAAACAATCTGGGTTCAGAGCTTGGTTTCAGCACTTACTTCAGCCTCAAAGCATGGGACTTTCACTTTCTGAGTCTTCGTTTTGTCATCTGTAAAGTGGGGGCAATAATACCTTTTAATGGGGTTGTTGTGGTGAGGATGAAATAAAATAATAGCTTGAACCTTATGAAATTGTCGTTTTGTAGGCTATAAAGAGTCAAATACCTGCAATATCATACGGTTCAATATAATACATATAAGAATCTGCGACTAAGAAGTAGTCCATAAATGGAAGCTATAATTGTGGCTATTATGATTATTAATCTCAGACATGGCCAGATCTCCTTTCATCCTTAGAATTCAGTGTCAGGGCTCCCATATGCCCCTCTTTTCCATCAGCACTAATGGGGAAAGGCTTATCTTAGATCTACTCTCTTTCCTCGCTCCCTCTTTTTTTTTTTTAAAGATTTTATTTATTTATTTGACAGAGAGAGACAACGAGAGAGAGAACGAGAGAGAGAACACAAGCAGGGGGAGTGGGAGAGGGAGAAGCAGGCTTCCCGCTGAGCAGGGAGCCCGATGCGGGGCTTGATCCCAGGACCATGGGATCATGACCTGAGCCGAAGGCAGATGCTTAACGACTGAGCCACCCAGGCGCCCCACCTCGCTCCCTCTTGTTAGCTGGATACAGCACGCTCGAGAAAGGCTTTGTCCTGAGTAATATAGGCATGCCATATCTATCCCTCCTGAGCAGCCTTGCAGTAAGGATTTTCCTGGTGATGTTTTTTACGTTTGGATATCCTCAGCATCTCCTTTCTGATTCCCTCCTTTTGATGCCCCCTGCCCCAGTCTTTTCACCTTGCTCTCAGCCTGGACCACAACACTGTCTTAGTATCAGTTTGTTACACCCATTGCTCATAATAACTGAAAAAAGCGAGTGATATAAAATAACAGGATTTATGGCCTTAGTCTCAGAGTGTAGAAGTTCAGAGTAGTTGGAGAAGGAGTTGATTCTGTTCCCTAAAACAATTCCCTAGCAAGGGCCCCATAACAGCTTTTAAAAGCCATACATGCCTGGCAGTGTTTGAACACAAGCACTTTGGGTAAGCAGAAGGAGTCTGTCCCCATGAGTAAAATGTCGAAATCCAGTATTTCACAACCTTCCAGGATTTCCCCTCTTCACCGCCTCCCATATCATGCCACCAGCTCTTCTACTCATTATGAATCCCATGAATCTCGACTGCCTCATGGTTTATCATTATCTTCCTGGCTTCACTTCTTTTCCTATCCAGTCCAGATCCTATGGTCAGTTACTTTTATCACATTTTTGTTAATATGCTTGCCCTTAAAATCGCAATCTTGGGTCATTTCAGCCATTTACCTCCTTTCCTCTCCCATCCTAAACCAGGATCAGGGAAATCACCCAATCCTGCAGAACTGCGCTTGTGAATGGACACCGTTTGAGCTAGTCCAGCCCATAAACCCTATTCTTTGGAAATTATATTTTCTATACTCGCCCTCCAGATCCGTGGGCCCCAGGGCCTTGTTTGTTTTGTGTGACCCCTGGCACTGTGGCTGCAGTTTTTTGAACTGTGAGTGGATTCCTAATCCAAGCTGTGCTAAGTAAATGTTCTCTCCTGGGAATTTTGGATTAGGGATGAGAGAATATGATTCTGGGACTGAACTGGTTTCCTGAACAGAAGAGAAAAAAACCCGGGAGCTATGGTGCATCTACCTCCCAGCTACTATGAGGAGTGAGAGATGGAGAAAGACTACCTGCAGGGAGAGAATGAACCAGTTAGGAGGATAGTGCAATGGTTCTGGTGAGGAAGAATAGGAATATAAAAGAGAGATTGATTTAAGATGTATTCAGAGGTAAAATTAAGATGTTTAAGATAAAATTGGTTTTGTTTAAATGAGGGTGGGAGAACTCTAAGATGCTTCTCTCTCAGGGTTCAGGCCAGAGACCAGAAATGGCGGGATTGGTCTCTGGTTCCTAAAAGAGTCCCAGAGGGGCACTTGGATGGCTCAGTCAGGCTTTCTCTCTCTCTAATAAATAAATACAATATTTAATAAAAAATAATAAAATAATAAAATAAAAGCTTCCCAGGCCCTTTGTGAGGCCCTCTGACCTTGGGGTCTCTGAGTCACATTTATCTAGAATAAATCTTTTAAGCTAACTTAACTTGTACCCAGTGCAGAGCTACTGCAAATTCAGTCTCTTCAGTTGGGTCCATACTGTACTCAGCAATCCTTATACATGGCAGCTTCTGCCACCATCCCCCATTCTGCTTCACAGAGAAAATGAAGGCAAGTGGGAAGAAACTGTCTTAGTTTCTAGTCCCCTCCAAGCATCTGAATCTCTCCCACCCTTTCTTTCTCAGAGAAGAGAGGTCTCCCTTCAAATCCAAGGTTAATCCTCTCACTGTGATGTGCATTTCATTCCCTTTTGTCTCTTCAGGAACTTTGCTCCTTCACTTATGCCTCTCCTTCATGAATATTCAACTTTTCACTTCCCCCTACTTTTTGATCTCAGCACATAAACTTGATCAAATGGCCCAACCTAAAAAAAATCCACTTTGAATCCCACACGCTACTGACTGTTGCACATTTTCTTGCCTTCAACAAGCTTCTAGGGAGTAGTGTGACTCTCCATCTCCACTTCCTCACCTCCCATGCACTCTTTAAATCTAGTGCTTAAATCTAGTGACCTCTTCCCAAAATCTCTACTGAAAATACTTTCACTGAAGTTGCAAATGACTTCTGAACTGAAAAATCCATTGGAAATGTTCAGCCTTAACTTATTTGACCACTTGATGTCATTTAGCTTTGTTGATCACCCTGACCCTGTACCGCTTTTCTCTGTTAGCTCCTATGGGCTACACAATTCCAGTTTTTCCTACACTCACTACACTCCTCAGCATCCTTCATGGACTCCTTTTGTGTCGTTCACTATTTAAATAAGAAAACAGGGCACCTGGCTGGCTCAGGCAGTAGAGCATGTGCCTCTTGATCTTGGGGTTGTGAGTTCAAGCCCCACATTGGGTGTAGAGATTACTTAAAAATAAAAATCTTCCCCCAAAATGAGAAAACAGTTTAGTCCACACCAATTTCTTATCTCCTCACTCTTCCTAGTGACCTCCACAGCACCGACCCGAAGCGGATCTTGGTAATTTGGGGCTTCTCAGAATCTGATTCCCCTCCTTCTTACAAGTCTTGGAGATAAGCAGAGCCTACATTCCATGACCGACATTGAAAAGGTTGGCAGCTAAGACAGAGGCATGTGACCTAGGCCTAGCAAAGTAGCCCCCAGAAGTTTAGATTCTGGGGTAAATGATTCAGAGAAATAGAACCATGGAGAATTCATTCTGGCAGTGGACACAGCAAGGTCAGCTCTCTCCCATGCATGGGGGCTATAGTGGTATGGGGGCTGGTGGTGGTAACATCAAGCGCCCACTGATGATGAAATCCACAGTATTCTCACTGTCTGGTTATGGCATATGACTTTGGCTTTTGCTCTGGTAGACTGGCCTCCCATTGTTCCCACTCATTTCCCAAGCTTGCATGCCCTGCTTGGCAATACTATGACCCACCCAGTGCCCTGTCAACAAATGGCTTTTCTGTTTAAGTCATCCTGTGTGGCACCCTGACTGCAGGTGACTAGGACTCCCAAATGTCTATCTCCCTCCTTTCCTTCTTGAACTTCAAGTTGCCTTTTGGATAAGTTGCCTTTTAGACAACTCCATTTGTACGTCTCATAGACAAACACATCTTCTTGTCAGTCTGCATCTCTTCCATGTTCCTAGATTCGTAAATAGCATCTATGACTTGTGCGGCCTGAACCCTGAGAGAGAAGCATCTTAGAGTTCTCCCACCCTCATTTAAACAAAACCAATTTTATCTTAAACATCTTAATTTTACCTCTGAATACATCTTAAATCAATCTCTCTTTTATATTCCTATTCTTCCTCACCAGAACCATTGCACTATCCTCCTAACTAGACCCTCAATCCCAGTATCTACTCCTCTGGTCTATTCTCCCCACTTAGCTGTCCAGCGGAATCTTTTTAAAACACAAATCTGATCATGTCACTCCTCTATTAAAGCCCTTCAGTGGCTCCTTCCTGTCCCCATGATAAATCTGATACCCTTTCTATGGACCTGTCTCCCACCTGACTCTCACTACTCCTTCATCTGCATCCTAAACTCCAGCCAGGTCAAATCACACATTCTTACAGACCCTGCAGGACATGTCTTTACACTCCATAAGTCCTCAGTGGGGCTGAGAGTCACAATGCCCCCTCCCCCTTTCACCCCACAGAGATGGATACATG